TTTAATTCCTGTTATACTACTCTGTCATCAATTTCTTGGGAACCATAAGAACTACTAAAACCCTTTACTGTTTTGTTTGGTGATTAAATTTGTTATTGAGATAAAATTAAATTTCAAACTATTTCTGTAAGAACTGTATTTCAAGACACAAATGTTACTTTGTATTTTATTTATAATTCCCAGAGCTTAATTTATGGTCACCTGCAATAGGTAGAAAATAAAGTTTTGAGTTGAGTCTCACCTTGCTTATTACTAAATAGTGCAGAATAGATGGTAAGATGGGTTCCCTGTGAGACATGACTTCACAAACCCCTCCAGGCAGGGAGTTCAGCCATCAGGACTTGGCAGTCACCCAAGTCATATTTATATATCCATTAAAAGGCAAGGTTGGGCCAGGCACGGTTGCTCAAGCCTCTAATCTCAGCACTTGGGGAGGCCAAGGTGGGCGGATCACCTGAGGTCAGGAGTTTGAGACCAGCCTAACCACCATGGAGAAACCCTGACTCTACTAAAAATACAAAATTAGCCGGGCCTGGTGGTACATGCCTGTAATCCCAGCTACTTGGGAGACTAAGGAAGGAGAATTGCGTGAATCTGGCAGGCTGAGGTTGCAGTGAGCCAAGTTGGTGCCATTGCGCTTCAGTCTGGGCAACAAGAGTGAAACTCTGAAAAAAAAAAAAATAGGCAAGATTGCCGTTTCCCTAATTTCATCGAAAAAATAATTAGGTATATGTAGCCTGGTTCGATAGCTCACGTCTGTATCCCAGCACTTTGGGAGGCTGAGGTGGCTGGATCGCCTCAGGTCAGGAGTTAGAGACCAGCCTGGCCAACATGGTGAAACCCCGTCTCTATACTCAAATCACAAAAATTAACTGGGCACAGTGATGTGCACCTGTAGTCCCAGATACTCAGGAGGATGAGGCAGGAGAATCACTTGAACCCGGAAGGTGGAGGCTGCAGTGAGCACCACTGCACTGCAGCCTGGGCAACAGAGCAAGACTTTGTCTCAAAAAAAAAGTATACCTATAAAATATGTGTAATATGTGTATATATGTGCATATTCAGATATACCATATATAATTTATATATATATATTTATGTATGTGTAATTACATCCATAGCTTATATATTTATAAATACATGTAAATGCAGAGAGCCTCCTGATTTACCTTTTGAATAAGATCTAGAGTCCCTACCATCTTACTTTTTTCATGAGTTATCTGCAAAGCAAATGGGAAGTAACAATAATAACGATTTATTTAAAGAGAAAGAAAATACCTTCTGCTATTTATTATAAAACACTTCATTAATTTGTCACCAGAGTTGTAGTCTCAAACTCGCTAATGTCTTCTCTGGGCTGCTTTTCAGTAGATGATTTCTTGTACAATTGCAAGATGTCACTGAGACCCAGGCAATGTCCCAGATGATCAGGGCATTTGTGGTACCTAGTATTTGGCTTCTAGACCATGCTCTACAAACTAGATGAAGTGTGTGAAGGAAAGGATGTCTTTATTTGCCTTTGTCCTAAAGAAAGTGAGTAATTGTCTCTTTTCCTTGCCTATTTCCTCCATGGAGAATTTACTGGCCCCAATTTTTAAAAAAGCTTCTACCACACTCCCATTTTCTGTAAGGGCAATTAGTTGCATGTACAAAATTTGGAGCAAAGAAGCCTCTTGTGGCCTGTTGTGCCTGCAGTTATCCAACTGTGGCTGCAGTTTTTCAGTGCACAACTGATTGCACCCACAAAAAGAAAGGCTACACTTTGAAAATGTGTCCCTTTAAGACAGTTGGGGGATTGCATGCCTCCGGTTGGCAAATTGCAATCTTTTAGAGAGGCACAGCCATCACTCTGGCTCGCACTGCCAGTCTGAAATCCAGGTTAGGCATCTTATGTGAGGAAGAGGCCTGGCTGGAGAGCAGGTGCAGAGGCCTCTCTCCTCTTCATCTACCACTTGCCCCTATTTCACCTTGAGCTACTCATGGACTATGCATTAGTATTCAGCATTCCTGACTCCATCTCCTGCTTAGTTCACCAGTCACTCTCCAGAAGGGTTTGCAGAGAGAAGCTCAGTTGGTCACACTGTCAATATAACACATTTAACCAACTCTAAATTTGCTTTAAAGAGACAGCTACCAAGATTGACTTTTGCAAAGTGACTCACTCCACCATGCGGCAAAGGCGTCCGTTTGCTCTTGACTGTTATTAAGTGTGTCACTGAGTACATAAGAAAGGGTTTTGAAGGAATTCCAGTGTGAATCCACTAATTCAATAATTCAATACCATAAATTCACGTAATGGATATTAATACTATGTTCAAAACAGGCTCACAACTTTTATATCTCTCTTTCTCAAACAGACAGAGCATGTGTTGTGAGAGACTCCTGATGAAATAATAAAACCCAATTTTCATTTAGAAAAAAGAATCATTATAGGAGGATGGTAATTTACTTTATATGACCTTCGATTGATTATTCTGTGGCTGCTACACAAATATCACAGGAGCTATTGATCGTAAAACCTACCAAATAGATCTCTAATAGCTTTTACTGGGCAAAAATAATTATGCTTGCACTGTCGTCAAACACACATAAACCAATGTGGAGATATTAATGTATGGTATTATTACCCATATGTCTGCTAGGTATGGAGAAGACCCTTCACAAGAACACTCTGTCTAAGCCCCATGAAAGCTCAATATCCAAGCCAACAGTTACAGCCAGTTATACTGAAAAATTGATTACTGTAACTAAAAGCTAGAGCTAGACAGCAGAGGCTGCAGCTTACTTTAAAAAAAAGTAAAATAATAACAAGAGAAATCCTAAGTGAGGGGGAGTCCTGCTGCAGTGACTGCCAGGACTCAGAAACTGCATTTCCCTGTGGTGTTGGCAGCAGAGTAACTTTTCAGAGTCAAGAGCTTTCTATTCAGCCTGTATCGTGATCAATGATCAACACCCGTAAAAGGTCAGGGTGTCTAATCAAAGAACAGATCATCTATCTCTCAAGGTAACGCATATAACATAATCCAGAAATGTGGTGCTGCTGGCCATGGAGAGCGAGAAAATCCAAGGGAAAGAGAAACTTCAGTTCCACTTTGGTGAACAGGAAGAATGTCCTGCTCATAGAAAATGAGCAGCCAGCCTTCTGCAGGGTGAGCCTCAGTGGCTCAGATGGTCCTGAAGGGGATGAACAAAGACCACACTCTGAAGGGGAAACTTCTCCACCATGCTGGGCTCCCAGGTTCTGATAAAAACATTTTGGACTTCAAAATTTCACAGCACGTCTATCACTTGCTTTCTAATCCCCAAAAGTCAGTATTTTAAAGAATATAATATAAATATAAATGCATCAATAGCAAATAACAGAAGTCCCAAACTGCTATCAAAGTGTTCAAATGAGGAGTGATACATTTTAACAACCAGAATGAATAGACTAAAATGCTAATAGAGACTAAAATGCTAATAGGAGTGAGTGATGGGTAAGAAAAAAAAGAGAGATCTTGTTTACCCAACGTGGGAGCTGTGCATATGTTTGAGTGGAGAGGGGAAGCAACTGTCGGCTGGGGGGATAATTGTATCCCATGAAACAGAACAGAATACTATCCCATGAATCCCATTCATATATCTCATGAAATATAATCAAATAATATCTCATGTATCCCATGAAACAGAACAGAATTGGAATGCATAGCTGGATGGCTGTGCATGCCACTGACTGGAAAGTTTTCGCAGAATTTCCCTAACCCCAAGTACTTATGCCTGCATCACACCCCAGACCAATCAAACCAGAGTATTAATTTTGGCATTTGTATTTCTTAAAACCAAACAAAAGCCTATATGAATCTCACATGAAGACAGGTTTGAGAACCACTAACTTTAATGTGAGGGACCCTTTTTAGGGATGGGAGGTCCTTAGAGATGACGAACCTCCAGGTTTCTAAGTCCAGCTCTCCTTCTTCTACAGTAATACAGCTCACTTGCTTATTTCTCTTCCTTGTTGGCATTATCAGTTCCAGTTGTTTAAGGCAGGAAAACTTGAGTCACTGTCTTTCTCTTTTTCATGATTTATGATTCAAAAGCAAGACAGGGGCAGGAGGTTGGTGGGTAATGCTTGCAGTTGTAGTTGCTGTTATTTTCATTTTGTATTTTTCTTTAAGAAATATGCTTTTCTGAAAAATCTTGAAGCCTTGAAGCCGCCTGCAGGGCTGTTGTTTTCCAAGGCCTTGCTCTTACGTAATTGACATCTACGTAGACACACTCCTGGAACATACCGGGGGAGGCAGGCATTCTGCTTGTTCTCATTTGTTCTCAAATTACATGATAAAATATATGTTTTGGATCTTTTAAAACAAAGGGAGTTATCGAGCCCACTTACAAAATCCATAACATGTTAGCAGGACTTACCTAGCTGCCTCCACGGAACAGCCAAGCAACTCTATACCCCCTTTAGCCCCCACAAAAGCAAGCTGATTGCACCTCAAATAATTTGCCTATTTGGAAAATGAAGGCTTCTCTGTGGTTTGAGGTCTTATTTTTTCTTTAAGTTGTTACAATCTTTTCATGGCCCTGGAGGTCTGGGTTAACTTTTTGTTTGGGGTAATTTTTGTATCCTATGGAGACTATTTAATCTTTAGCATTGAGTTAGTATTTCCCACTTAGGCTTTGTGGGAATACTGCCTGTAGTATGTATGGGGCACGCGGAATTCAGATGGTGTTGCTTGCAAAGTCCATCAAGGGTTCACCCAAGAAACAGACCAGAGGCAAAACATTCTATCCCTAAAAACGTGTTCTCAGTTACACTCCCCTTCCAAAGGTAAGCATCTTCATTCTTCCACTTTTCAAGAGGCTAAACCCAGGGACGGCTCCTGTGTCCAAACACACATGACACACCCATCCACTGCACGCGTGTACATTCGGGGATAGCGTGTCTTCCCACGTTCCAGCCGCCCCCCTGGCTGCCAGCCGCGGACTTAGCGCACACACGGTCCCGGTCACCCGCGTACCTGTCTCGTTCTGGCCTTGGAGAACGCAGTGGCTCACAAGGGCATCGCTAGCACGCCGGGCGCGGCGGAGAGATCATCGGAGGGAAGTGCGAGCTGTCCCGCAGGTGCGGCCCCACCTGCTGCCGATTGGCCGCAGCAGCGACTCTCCACGGAAGGAGGGCGGATGATGGATGGCCTGTCTGCAGTCCCGGGTCCGAGCCGCGGGGGGCCGCCGAGGGAAAGGCGAGCGCGCGCGCGCTGCTCTGTGCCCAGCGCACACAGCGAGATGCCTGCACAAAAGCACAGGGCTGGGAATGTTTGCGTTTTGAATATTGGTTTCTGTTCTATCTCTGTGGGAGAAAGGAAAACGCGCTATGGGAAAGTAGAGGGCGAAGAACCCCCGAATAATTTCGTACTGATGTTTGACAAGTCGTTTCACCAACGGAACCACCCGCGAGCCTCCCCTTCCCAAATTGCAAACAGTTCAGAAGTCTTGTCATTTATGTGAAGGATACCCTATCAGTATCTGAGAAAAAAGAGGAAATCAGATCTCAACAGTTGGCATCCCCTTATCTCAGATCATATTAAAGCCACTGAAAATTGGTTAAAAAGGAGGGGCGTGGGCAATACACCTTATATATTATACACAGGATAAAAATGTTAAGATAATCTGCTAGTCAACGCTAGTAAACTTATTTTTTCTAAAAGAAAAAATAGAATGTGCTCAAGATACATATTTTCACATTAGAATGTGCAATATTTTCATGATTTATCTAGCTTTTACGTGTTAAAAGTCCTGAGCAATTTGAATATGTTGTTTGTCCTTGCAAAAGGATAACAACACATTGTTTTAGGCAGTTCTATTTAAGAGACATCCTTTTAAAAACTCTTTACGTTGAGAGTGAGGGTCGAAGTCGGCAGACTGATAGCAGGAGAGAGTTAAGTCGTGAACCACCATAGAAATGGGGCCGATAGAGAGCTGCTGTGTCATCCGGGCTCTTCTTTGGCAGCTGAAGGACAGACAGGTCCACTCTGCAAGCATTCCTCCTGCGCAAGCTGCAACGCTGAAGGTAATGCCTCTCCTGTCAAGGAGTCAGTCCTGCACGTGCTGATTCATTTACTTCTGAGAGCAACACCGTTTATTAAAAAAAAAAAAAAAAAATTTATGAGGAAAATGTTTTTCTGTTTAACTGTGCTTTAAAATTCCACCATCCTCCTCTGCCCTGACCACTACCACGAAGAAAGTGAAAGCCTTATTAAAATAGTAATAAATGAGATGGAAACATGTCACCGAGGTATATTTTATATAACTGATTGAAGAGTGAGGGGGTGGAGAGAGAAAGCTTAAATGTGTTTCTCTTTGAAATACCAGATGAGCATAATAGTAAGTTTAGAAAAAAAGAAATGGTAAAAGGAAACTAATAATTCCATCAGGCTAACAGGGGCAGCATATGGAAAAAATGCACATATAAATTAAATGTATGCATGCTTCTTACTAGAATTATTTATATGTATGCTTATATACTTATAAAAGAGTACATTTGAATCATGGGATTATGTAGTGATTCATTATGTCAAAAGCACTTTTTAATATTATTAGAGAACATCCATATTAGCCAATTTTAATAATAACTGTATATATGATTTGCCCAACTATTTCCCCAATGTTGGATACTTAGGTTGCTTTTGGGTTTCACTCGAGTAAATAACACAGTAAGGAACATCTTGAGGCAAAATTTCCGTTGTTTTCAGTTTTTGATTTCAAAGAAATTTATTTAAGTGGAATAAATGGGGCATGCATTATGAACATTTTGATAGTACTTTTACAATCATTTTCAAGCTACATTACAAAAAGAATTGTACAATTCCATCCTGCCATTAGGAAAATATTGTATCACATTTTTTCAACTTTATCCAGGTAAAATTGATGAAAAAAATTGTGTATATTCAAGGTACACATGTGATGTTTTGATATATGTATACCTTGGGAAATGCATCACATTATAAAAGTATGCTCTACGTTATTGAAACTATTAGGAAAAATATTTAGTAATGTAACAGGTGGGAATTATTTTTTGATACTCATTTTCTTTAGTTATTAATGAAGTTCTTTGGTTTCTTTAAAAACTTCTCCCTCTCTTTTGAATTTTGGTTTCTCTTCAGTCATTGAAATAGCTCTGAAGTTGATATTTAAAAATAAAATACAGCATTTAAAAAATAACTCTTTCATGTTATTAATTTTGAACTAGGGTGATAACCCTAGTTAAAATGGTTACAATATGCACAGCAAGAAATCTCTGACAAATTGAACAAAGATGCAGTTTGAAAGGATCTATAGAATTTAGGTTTCCAACAATCCTCTGCTTTCCTTCCATGGTGGCACACAAAATTATATTATCATCTGTGAAATTACACTGCAAACTTAAGGTACCTGATAGCAAATCATATTCTTTTATTAAAAAACAGAATCGTTGATCCTTGCACTTGCTTTCTTTCTGGTCTGAAAATGTGTGCTGTTTTCTCAGGCTGTGATGTGATCCTTTAAAAATGCCTTTTTGCGTCCCGGTACCTTCCACAAGTACACCAGTGCCCAGTAAATAAAGTAGCAGCCCATGTCCCTTTTAGCAAAAGCTATATATCTGTTCAGACTTGTAATTTGCTCAGTTTATATCCTTTGCCCTTGAACTCTGGTTATTAACGCAGTGTTTCTCAAAATGATGCCGTATAACTCTGCTGCGAGCACATTCACGGTGACACCACGCAAACATTCTAAGGGCCAGGGCTGGCTAAGGAAGGGAAAAAAATGAGGGCTGAATTGTGGAAGTTGCAGTGCATTACTCAAAATGGAAGGGCTGTAAAACTGTGACTGTTAATATTCAAATTGTGACAAGGCCAGAACCAGTTTTTGTTAATATTCTGAGGTCTGCTTGGAAAGCGATTTAGCAGAGTAGCTTTGATTAAAAAAGAAACAACCAGAACCCTTCTCCCAAGAAATGAACTAAAACCTATCAAAGGATTTGAGGCAAGTGTCCTAATTCTGCATCTTAAGAAATTATTTGTAGTGGGTTTGGAAAGGAGGTTTGCTCAGTTATAAAATGCAGATCGCGTATGTAGGAAAAATAGAGACCAAATTCCTTTGTGCAAACTATAATGAAATACACCATTTTTTGCATCATGTAGATTGTATAAGACAACTGAGCATTGACTGGGTTTAATACTGTTTTCATTTTTTTAAATAAAAATTTGCTAATTAATATTGTGTAAAATTTTGGACAGGGAGTGGGACTTGTCTCCCTTTAGAATAACTGTGAAGGGAATGCACTGATTAACCAAATTAATAATTTAGGTAAGATCACAGAGGCTCTGCACAACCTACTTTGTAACGGAAATTGTTCTTCTACATTTTAGAAAAGGGCATTTGCAAAAGAGCTCCTTTCCTTTGAAATGAAAAAGTCATACATTGAAAATAATATGGCCAAGAAAGAGCTTGTACATATTAGCCTATTTCAAAATGGTGCATTTATTTCAAAATAATGTTTTTAAAAAGGAATTTTTTTCAAAGGTTTATTTTAATAGACTCACATTGAAGTGACTTCAGGTAAAAAGTAATTATTTTTACTTTTATTTTTGCATTTTACTTTGAAGCGAAATGTTCATGGCCGTGGGATTTAATCTATACACCTCCTTCCCCAGATCCTACGCTATACATCATGCAGATCATGCAAAAATGTTGATGGGAATGAGAAAATAATATACCGTCACATACTGAGTTTCATGCTGAAATGTAAGCTACTGTGAAACTTCTGGTCACAAGTCTGTATTCTGTACTCTGACTGTGTGCCTTTAAAGAGAAGTAAAGAAAAGAAACACTTATAACTACTTCAGTTGGCTATTTTTTTTTTTCCAGACAAAACATGATCGGAGTACATTTGCATGTGCAAAAATACTCAATACTCCTATGAGTATTGCCAATAGAAAATAAATAAGCTACAGGTGCCCAAGAACATCAATCACACGCTTCTTAAAGTGTTAGCTATTCCCATGTAAATAACATTTCCAGAGGAAAATGAATTCTAAGCTTCAAGTAGCTGTATTAAGAATACTTTGGAAAACAGTATTTTTATGAATATAGAGCTTCCTATTTTCTTCCTGTTCTCTCCTTAATCAGCTGTACCTAAATTAAAGGAGGTGTTTCACCTTGGATCAATGAGACTGATCCAGTGACATTAATTTCAGTATACTTTTTGGCCAATAAAAATAAAAATATAGATAAGGATTTTGTTTTATAATTCTAAGAATTCTAGGATCTCATACTTACTGGATGAGCAGACTTATGAGACAAACACCTTGATGACATCATTGATCTCTGAAGGCCCACAAGCTGAGCATCTGATGAATGCTCAAAATCTGCTTATTGAATTAAATGCATTAAAAGATGCAAGTGAATGCTTATTGCTGTATACCATTTCATTGAAATGTAACACAATGATGGGTTGTACAATACTGATTTTAATTAAAGTAATTCTTGTGCTATGGTTTCTTATTCGCAAATCATCAAAACGTTTCTTTTTATAAACCTCATTCACAAACTTTGTGACCCCGTTGTGCTAGTAAAACAAGGTTTGGAGAACCTGGCTCCTATAGTCTCTCCCATTGTCGCAGCTAAATAATTGCTGAAATGCATGAGACTAAAACTGGGTATGGTGTTAGATGTCTGTTTTCTACAATTAAGAAGGGAAGTTATTTAGTGGAGAACATGTGTTTTGTTCGTGATAGAATGACAGCATTGCTTGTTAAAAACTGTGAGCACTTTGAACTTAGATGACTGTCTGCAGATTAAACTTTGGATTTCCTATCTTGGTCTCCTAAACAAAGTACATGTACACACGTTGTGGATTATATGTGGCATAATTATATCAATTATAGTTTCAAACATTTAGTTCCAAAATACAGCAAATATCATTCTGTCCCTCACCCAATTCCCTCTTTTCCTTTTTTTTTTTTTCAATGAGGCAAAGTTTCACTCTGTCCCCCAGGCTGGAATGCAGTGACATGATCTCGGCTTACTGCCACCTCCACCTCCCGGGCTCAAGTGATTCTTCCACCACAGCCTCCTGAGTAGCTGGGATTACAGGCAGGAGCCACCACACCTGGCTAATTTTTGTATTTTTAGTAGAGACAGGGTTTCACCATGTTGGCCAGGTTGGTCTCGAACTCTGGACCTCAGGTGATCTGCCTGCCTCAGCCTCCCAAAGTGCTGGGATTCTGGGTGTAACCCACCATGCCCAGTCTATATTTGGTGTTTTAATCTAATTTTCAGTCACTAGAAAAATAGAAAAAACAAAACTCCTTTATCACTAAGCAT